GGAGAAAACATTTGCAAACCATACATCTAATAAGGAGCTAATATCCAAAATATACAAGGAACTCAATGCAAAAAAAAAAAAAAAAAAAATCCTCTAAAAACAGATAACCCAATTTTAAAATGGGCAAAGAACATGAATAGACATTTCTCAAAAGAAGATGTACAAATGGCCAACAGGAATATGAAAAATGCTTAACATCACTAATCATCTGGGAAATGTAAATCAAAACCAGAATGAGATATCACCTCACACCTGTTAGAATGGCTATTATCAAAAAGACAAAAGATAGCCAAGTGTTGGCAAGGATGTGGAGAAAAGGGAAGCCTTGCACACTGTTGGTGGGAATGTAAATTAGTACAGCCTTTATGGGAAACAGTATGGACATTCTTCAAAATATTAAAAATAGAACTACCATATAATCCCACAATCCCATTATTGGGTATATAGACAAAAGAAATGGAGGGAGGGGGGAAGGGAGGGAGGGAGTGAGGAAGGAAGAAAGGAAGGCAGGAAGGCAGGAAGGCAGGAAGGCAGGAAGGCAGGAAGGCAGGAAGGCAGGAAGGAAGGAAGGAAGGAAGGAAGGAAGGAAGGAAGGAAGGAAGGAAGGAAATGAAATGCATCCCAGAACAAAGCTCCAGGGATTTATAGAAATACAAAAATATCCAGCTACCAATAAGGTAAAATGCACAACAACTTGAGATTACCAGAAATGCCTTTGTAGGGAAATATGACCCATAATAAGGACAATAATCAATCAATCAAAACTGCTTCAGAACTGACAAAGATGTTAGAATTAGCAGAGAAGGACATTAACACAGTTATTACTACAGCTATATGTGTGATATTGTGATACAATAAGAAATACGTATTTGGTCTTTGTTCCTGGCTCCTGGCACAGAGCTCCTAAAACTCTTGTAATTTCCTAAGTGATGGGGTGAGAAGAGAGTCCTGCTATTCATAATAAGCCCCTTTTGACCACATCTGAGTTTATGCTAATGAGGGACTCTTGGTGGGCCCCTACATAACTTCTGGATAGGTCTGGTTCCCAGAGGAACCAACCACATGATTAGATGGTTGGAAATTTCACCCCGCCCTCCACCTCTGGGGAGGGGAGAGGGTCTGCAGGTTGAGTTAATCAATGGCCAGCAATTTAATCAATCATGCCTATGTGATGAGGCCTCTATACAAAAACAACTAAACAACAGGGTCAGGGGAGATTCTGGGTTGGTGAACACATCAAGATGCTGGGAGAGGACCCCACCCCATCTCTTGCCCTATACATCTCTTCCATTTAGCTGTTCCTGAGTTGTACCCTTTATAATAAACCAGTAATAGTAAGTAAGGTGACTTCCTGAGTTCTATGAAATTATCAAGTCTGAGGAAGGGGTTGTAGGAACCCCTGATTTATAGCCAGTCAGTCAGAAGTACAAGAGACCTGGGATTTTCAATTGCTGTCTCAAGCGGAGAGAGTCTTGTGGGACCGAGCCTTTAACTTTTGGGTCCAATGTCAACTCTGGGTAGTTAGTGTTATAATTGAATTGGATTGTTGGACACCCAGTTGGTATCTGGAGAGTTGGAGAACTGGTTGTTGGTGTGGGGAAAACTCACACATTTGGTGACAGAAATGTTGTGAGTAAAAACAGTTCACAGTTTACCATATGTTCAAAAAGTTGAATTGAGTCAGTTAGCTCAGCTGGTTAGAGCACAGCCTTATAACACTAAGGTCACGGGTTTGGATCCCCATACCGGTCAGCTGCCAAAAAAAAAAAGTTACATAGAGACACTGAGGATCTAAAAAATACCAAAAGTGAACAGCTACATAACTTGGTTGAAAATACACTGTATGCAACTAACAGCACATTAGATATTGCAGAGGAAAATATTAGTCAAACTTGAAGGCACAGCAATAGAAACAAATGAAACACATAGAGAAAAAAATCCAAAAAAATGAAAAAAAAAATCAGTGAGCTGTGGAACAACTTCAAGCACCTAATATATGAGTAACTCAAATCCATGAAGAAAAGATACTGGCCGAAATTCTTCCAAATTTGATGAACACTAGAAACCTACATATCCAAGAAGCTCAGAGAATCCCAAGCACAAGAAACATGAAGAAACCTACACCAACGCATACCATAATCAAACTGCTCAAAACCAGTGCTAAAGAGAAAATCTTAAGAGCAGTTAGAAGGAAAAAAAGGGACATGCCATGTACACAGGAACGAAGATAAGGATGACATTAGATTTCTCACTTCTCACAGGGGAGAAACACGTTTAAAATACTGAAAGAAATAAAAACTGTCAACCTACAATTCTATATCCATGAAAATATCCTTCAAAAAATAAGGTGAAATAAAGACTTCCCAGACGTACAAAAACTGAAAAGAATTAATCACCAGCAACCTTGTGCTACAAAAAATGTTAAAGGATGTCCTTCAGGCAGAAGGAAATGATACCAGATGGGGATCAGGATCTATACAAAGGAATGAAGAGCATTGGAAATGGTAACTACATGGGTAAATATATACAATTATTTTTCTTATTTCAATCTCTTTAAAAGGTAATTGCTTAAATAAAAATAACGATGTTTTGGGGGGGTTTATAACATATTTAAAAGGAAAATGCATGGTAACAACAGCATAAAGCCTGAGCAAGGAGAAATGGAAGCACACTATTGTAAATGTTTTATACTATATGCAAAGTGGCAGACTTTGATAAGTTAAAGATATATACTATAAACCCTAAAAGCCATCAGTAAAATAAAACCAAGAGTAACAGCTAATAAGCCAACACAAGAGATAAACTGGAATCATTAAAAATACTTGATTAATCCACAATAAAACAGAAAAAGAGGGAAAAGGGAAGAGAGAATAGGATAAAGAGAAAACAAATAGCGAGGGGCTGGTTGGTTAGCTCAATTGGGACAGTGTGGTGCTGGTAACACCAAGGTGAAGCGTTTGGATCCCCACACCAGCCAGCCGCAAGAAAAACAAAATAAAAAGAAAAAAACCAAATAGCTAGATGACCGACTCAAACTTAAGTATATCAATAATCAAATTAAATGTAAATGATCTAAGCACCTCAGTTAAAACAGATATTGTCAGATTATATAAAAAGACGCCACTACCTGCTACCTACAAAGAAACACACTTAAATTTTAATGCACAAGGGGAGTGACAATCAGCAAAATGGCAGAGCAGGAAACTCCAAGCTCTCGCTCCCCAACAGAAACATCAAAAAAAAAAAAAAGCAAGCAGAATCATCAGAACCAACTGTGTCGGAGCTCTGGAAAACAGTCAAAGGTTTACAGTAACTGAGTATCCAATCAAAAGAGAAACATCTTCAAAATGGTAAGAGAGTTTTGTACTGTTTTGACTCCCCCTCACTGCTCCTCACCCTTTCCCTGGCACGCTGGCAGTCTTGGTCAGTCTTGGAGCAGCAGCCCAGTTCCCAGATCCCTCCCTTGAAGGAAAGGGAGCAGAAACTTTATTTGTAAATTTTTGTGTAATGCTTTCTATTTGCCCACCTGTTCTATGTTCCTTTTTCCTTCTTCTGGATTGATTATTCAGCATTCTACTCCTCCCCTATTTGTTTGAAATTTAACTTTTTCAATTATTTAGTTTGATACCCTTAGTTTATCAAAATATTAGTCTAATGTAAAATATTTTAGAAGATGCGTATCTTACTTTAACCTGTATTCCAATTTACACAAATTCTCTCTTAAGCTCTGTCTACTGTGTTGTTAAACCCATCCATTAACTTCTTAAATTTTGTTATCTATTTCAGGTCTATCACTTCTACCTGGTTATTTATTTTATTTTATTTTTTAACTCATTTTCATTTTTAACCATTTTAAATCTTTTTTTTTTTTTTTTTTTGGTGGCTGGCCAGTAGTGGGATCGAAACCCTTAGACCTTGGCGTTATAACACTGCTCTAACCAACTGAGCTAACTGACAAGCCCTTCTTGTTCACTTTTAATGATTTTTATCTTCATGACCATAGTAAGCATAATTGTCTTACATAGATGTCTGATCATTCGCATATAAGGAGTCTCCGTGTAACTGTGTCAGTTGTCTCTCATTTCTCCTGAGTCTTAATGCATGTTGTCTTGTTTCAAGATATCTTTGATTTGGACTGGCCGGTTTGCTCAGTTGGTTAGACAACAGCCTTATAACACCAAGGTCACTGGCCAGCCACTGGAAACAAAAAAAAGATACCTTTGTCTTTGGTTTGCCCAGGGCAGTTATTTTAAATGGATTCACTTTATATGGGCAAAGGTAGCAGTCTGGGGGAGTGTGGAGGCCTTGACCATGGGAATTGGCCCTCAGATGCCACCGATCAGGATTCCCTCCCTCAGGGTGAAGTAGCGGGTAGCTTATTTACGTCCAGGTGCCATACATCTGTCCTCTCTACTTCACCTCACGGGATCCCTGTTTCTCAGAGGTGACAGTTGGCTTCTCTGGGAGGGGTCAGGTGGGAGATGTTTAGTGCTCGTATGGCATCTGTTGAGGCGGTCTGGTGAGTATCTTTATGTCCTGAAACCACACATTTGCCACATGGATGCCTGCCTGCTCCAGATGTACCCTTTCCACATCAGCTGTAGTGCAGCTCATGTCTGCAGAAAGATTTGCAGTCCTGGGTCCACACAGGCCAAACACCCCCTCCAGGGACCGACTCCAAGGTAACTGATGAGATATACTGACCTGATAGAACCTGAGCAATTCCTTGACCTCTGTATCTCAGTTTCCCCTTATGAAAATGGAGATGACAACTCCCGCATGAGATTGTCAGGATTATGAGTCAATATTTGTAAAACACTTTTGAAAAAACCAGACGGACATACAGTTGGTGCTTGGAATGAACAGTGCCTGGCACACAGTTGGTACTCAATGAGCACTCAAAGCAGCATCCACCACACACCTGGCATTCAATAAGCACCCAGAACACAGGCATAAAACTGATGCTTAGTAAGTCCGAGGGGAAAAACCACACTGCTGAGTGAAGGACAGACTGGTGTTTTATATATATACCCACACAGCAGAAGATACAGGGTCTCAATAAGAAAATACACTCTTGTGTTCAGGTGAACCCCCATCACCCACTCAGAACACTCCAGGCTGGGAAAGAGGGAAGGGGTAACCATAAATAGAGACTAAGAGGGTAGGTTATTGCTCTAAGGGGCAAACACAGGCAGGGAGCACACTCTTGGGAAGAGATAGGGCCTCTTCCTCCCAGAGAGATCATCGCAGCGAGCGGCACAGGAGAACAGTAGCCACAACTAAGCCTGTAGTGCCTGGCGGGGGCACCTAACACGGGGAAGAGAATAGGGGAAAACACAAGAAGCAAGATGGCAGAGAGGGCTTCCTTCCCTGTGGCAGGACTCAGGGCCCCTCAGTTAACATCCATGAACTCAGAGCTGGGTGGGGAATTGCAGGCAGGGGAGGCTGGGGGACCAGACGAGCCGGACCGGGATTGCAGGCGACGTGCCACGTCCTGGCGTTGGTAGAAGAGGACATAGGCTGCCTTGGACTGCAGGGAGAGACAGGAGTCAGTATGGATTGGGTGGGGGAGTGGAGTCAGGAGAAGGGAAGAAGGGGAGAAGGAGGACAGAAGTCACACCTCAATCTGATTCTCATTCACAGGTGAGATGCTGTTGTCATCGAAGTAGTGCCACTGGCCGCTGTCCTTGTTGCAGGCAAATGTTGTGTCTGAAAGGGAGGGGAAGAGATCCTCACCCACCCTCCTGCCCCTGAGAGGCATCCAGATTCACTCTCACCCTTCCAACCCTGATAACCTTGCCACCGGCTCACATGCCCATTCACCCACTGGGGACATCCTGACCCTCCCAGTCCAGACCACCCCCCAGACATGTCCCTGCCCACAGCCTTGCACATACAGTGTCCATCACGCATGCCCCCATAGTGATTGGAAACCGCAATAAGATCGTATTTGTATAGCTCTGGAGATGACTCCTTCTGTGGTTTGATGACAAACTTGGAGAAGTCCAGGTCCCTGTGGGTGGGGAGAGGGTTAATACTAGTGTGGTATGCCCTGCCCCCAGCCCCTTTCCCTGCCTTAGCCCAGCCATCCTCCCCCTGGCCCCTGACCGGATAGGAAACTCTACAAGGGTGTCCAGCTTCTCGCGGGAGAACTTTGTGTAGGAAAAGCGTTTCAGGTGGATGATGAGAATCTCTGGCAGCATCCACAGGTCCAGCTTTTTGGTGGCCAGCTGGTGCTGCTTGCAAGAAGGGCAGTACCTACAGACAGAGTCCAAGGCAGTAAATAGACATTTTCTGAGCACCTACTGCACACCCTTTGTGTTATCTGGCCTTCACGTGCCATGCTTGGCCCACAGAGAAGCTGCTCTTACTTTCAGCATGCCTGGTACTCTAGTTTGCTCTTTCACATTAAAACCCTTTCATTCATTCATCAAGTACTGACTGACTGACTGCCTTTTGTAAATGCTTTTGTACTATTTTGCAATTTTGTTTGATTTCTGGTCCATAAGATGCTAGTCTGCCTGACTCTATCCCTCTAGTTTCCTCTCTTCATATTTTAGTCACATTCATTCCAGGTATTTATTGATTGCCTCCTGTTTAATTCTTTGGTACAGCCCAAGCAAAGGCTCTGAGGTGGGAATATGCTTGGGGTGTTGCTGGCTAGTGTCGCAGGAAGGGTTTGAGAGACGGGGAGAGTGGAAGGAAGTATGTTTAGGCAGCTAACAGGGGCCTGGGCAGGTAGTGAAACCCCATGAAACCCCACAAACCCCATGCTGGCCCCTCACCAGGGGTTTTCCTTCTCCAGGGTCTCCATGGTGGTGAAGAGCTCAATGCACTCCTGCAGCCGCACCGGAGGCTTCTTCAGTACGTATCCAACGCAGTCATGCTTCACATAGCCCTAGGGTTGGGTGAGCAGAGGGCCGGATGGCTGGGTATGAGGGTGGGTGGAGAAGCAGGGAGAGGCGTGGATGACACATGCTGAGTGGGTCCGAGCACTAGGAACCTGAGGCTCTGGAGCTCTCAGCGGGTATTAGGTTCCAAGGCTGGGCTGGACTTGGACCCTATCTCTTGGCTGTGTTCCCGGCTGGAGGGGCTGGGGTAGTGGGGGGCATGTGAAGAGTTGAGGGGTGAGAGCTTAAAGTGCCCCACATCCCTGGGATCTCATTTACCTCAGCCTCCGCCTCGTCATAGTAACGCTTCTTCATCTCCGGCTCCCAGTCAATGGCAATGTACGGCTGGGCTGGAAGTGAGGGAGAGGTGGTCATGGGTCCTGCTGCTAGGAAATCCCACCTTCCACCTTCCCAACCCTGGCTCACAGCCAAAGGAGTTTACAATGGACTTCTTCAGGGGAGGTCGTGCGGTCACTGGTCCCATTGGAGTTCACTGTCTGCAGGGTGAACAGTTGCTTGCGCCGCCGCCTTGGGGGCCACTGAGATGTGCCAAGGCAGTTGTCCAAGAGGAATGGGCACCTGCTTGTGACCCCAGAGCTGGGCCCAGCCTGCTCTGGCTCAGGGTCTCGGAGGCTGCCCCCAGTCGAGGGCCCAGGAAGGTCATCTTTGTCCTCCTCCTCATCGTCATCTAGGATGAGAGGATGTCAAAGAGGGGAAGGGTGAGCCCTGGAGGCTGAACTGCACTGCACATTTAGGTGAACCCTGTGTGGGTCAGACCTATCCCAGGTCTGACCCACATCCCCACTCAGGTCACAGGACCACCTGTATAGACCCTCCTCCTTGTCGACCCTCTCTCACTCCTCTCCCTCACCTTTCTCATCCCCATCGTCCTCCTCCTCATCTGAGCTGGGTTTGGTCACGTAGCGTCTGCAACAGAGCAGAGGAGACTCCCAAGGGAGGGGCAAAAGGACAGTGGGGGCAGAGCCTGGGATTTTACTTTAAAGATGATGGGAAGCCACTGGTAAACCCTCACATAAACTGTTCTTAATTACAGGCCCAGAAGGTCTGAGGAGGTGACATATAAATGCATGAAGAGGCTGAAGATGTCAGCAGTGGCCTGAGAATGTAGGATCTTGTGTGCCACAGGAGTGGTATGGATTTTAAGTCTAACAAGCCACTGGCAAACAGACACACCACCTGCTGTAAATTTCCATCAGGGAAGGCGTCTGAAGAATGGACTTTTGAGTGTAAAATGAGGGAGGAAAGGTTAACCCAGATAATGTATTGCTTTGCTTGCTATGGTAAGAACTCTGGATTTTAGGCACAATGAAAATCTATCAGTAAAAATACAAATAACCAAGTCTCTCCAAGGAGGAGACAATTAAGTATAAGATGAAGTCATCTGTACTTTGTCTGCCTTGTTCACTTCTGTATCCCCAGCACCTAAGAGGCAGTAGCGAAGCCAATGGTCAAGAGAAAGAAAAAACCCTACAAGTTCTTCTATGGTCATGTTAAGTTTGAACTGTGTTTTGCTTGAAGGGAAGGTGTCAAATAAGTAGCTAAACACCCAGGTCTAAGTTCAGACCCAACCTCACCCCTGCCCCCGGGGAAGGAGACACTTACGAGAGCCGGTACGTTAGGACGTTATATAGACCGTCCCAGGAGAACCGGTCCCTGGGCACTGACACCAGGAGTGGGTGCCCAAAAAGCATCAGGCCATAGTAGGAGTTGTTGTAGTCTCGGGCTGGAGTGCGCTCCCGCAAGTAGACAGGAACCACAATGTCATCTCTTGAGCCCTCGATGGCCTCAATCCGACCTGATACCTCATATCTGTGGGGGGTGGACATCAGGTCAGGCCTGATCAAGGCATCCCTGACACTGCACCAGTTGCTCCACCCACTCACTGCTCACAGCCTGAAGATATTTTTCGAAGGATCTGAAAAGTCACCAAATGTTTTGTGCTTTACAAACTGTTAAATGATTTACAGAGCACTTTGTTTATGTGCTATTTTATAAAGTACTTTGGTGCTATCAGAGTGCTTTAAAAACCATTTTCTTTTTGTAAACTACTGCTTGATTTACAAAGAACTTTTCTACTCATGAAGCACTTTCAATTTTAGTTTTTAGTTACCCAAAGATTTAAAATTTTTTCTGAATGCTCCTATGTTCTTTCAAAAATCTCTTTCTGTGTTTGAGGACTGCAATAGAATAAGGAGTTCAGCCCAGCATATGGTACACAGGAGGGGCCTAGTAAGTGCTGAATGAAATAAATAAGAAACTGTGGCCTCCCTCCCATAATGAGGAGAAAAACACCCAAAGACAGCCTGTATAAGGCTCTGTCACCCTACTCCATTGACAGCCCCAAGCCCCTAACCTGCCAAGGCACATGGCCAAAGTTGTGTGGGGCAGGTGCCCTGCAAATAAGGCAGAGGAGAAGAGAGAAGGTGGTTAAGGCAGGATCATACAAAAGGAAGTGGACCAGGTTCCTGAGGAACCACCATCTCCCCTTGATGCCTTCACTCACACAAAGATATCATCACGGTCCAAGATGCTGCTCAGAGAGTCCTCCAGCTGGTAGAGCTTATAGAAGCGGTGACTGAAGACATCAGCCACTATCATCTGGGAATGGGATGTAGAGAGGGTGCTGGTCAGTCTGCAAGGTCTCCCCAGACTTCTCTGCCTCCTTGACCCTGAATCCCACCCAGCCTCCATCTGCAGAGAGTCTCACCCTTTCTGGTGAGATACCCGTGTGTTTAGACAGAGCCACACACAGATCCGAGATCTTGCCTTTCTTGGGAACCACAAGCCGGTGCTGCAGGAGGAACAGTATCAACAAAAGATCAATAGGGCTGTGGTGAGTTAATCAGGAAAGTTTTAGGTAGGGCAGAGTAATCAGACTCTGACTACATGTCCTTCATCATGTCCCCATGTCCTCATTTCCCCCATACCTGCTCTGGTTTGCGGCGGGGATCCATGGGGATAAAAAAGACCTCCAACACCCTCTTGTGGCTGACAGGCAGTGGGACGCTGAGATAGCAGAAGGGGTCGAAGGTCACAGACACATTGCCACAATCAGGGCACACCAGGGTGGACTTGAAGAGGCCATGGAAAGTGTCCACAATCACAGAATCATTTCGTCGTTTGTGGTTCTGCCAGGCCTCCTGAGCGACCTCCTGTAGACAGTACCATGGAGGGTGGTGAGGCTTGCCCAGGGCAGAAGGAAACCATAGTTTGGGGTGGATTCGTCCAAGGTGAAGAGTAAGGCTGCTGTTAAAGTCCAGAGGTAGAGGTACAGCTAGGGATATGTGGAGACTATATTCACTGTGAGTGTTGGAGTGGGTTGGGGTTAACTCTAAGCTGGGTGTGGGGGCAGATGTGGCGTTGGAGCTAGGGTTGGGACTGAGGTTGGAGTTGAGGTCAGGGTAGAGGAACTTAAAAGAAAATGGTGGGATGTTGGATATCCTAGGGAGGCCAAAGAATCCCTAAGGCAGAGATCATAGTGGTTTAAGGGGACTCTCAGGATGGGGTACTTTCAGGAGCAGCCTACCTGATCTGGCCGCCCAGCAGCATTGCACAGCTCCACATATTCCTTCTTCTTGACCCGATTAAGGTCCTCATGCAGCCCATCCAGGAGGAATGACAGCAGCTCCTGAGAGTCATGCTGCTGGTAGCCCAAAAACTGGGACGCAAAATGGCCAACCTTGGTCTGAGAAGATGGGCGGGGCCGTTAGAGCAAGAGGGAGTTAAGAGAGCCAAGAAAAGTTGGGGGTGGGGGGTGCCCAGGGATGAGTCATACCTTGAACACATGAGGCACAATGGAGCGGTGGTGGCCGGACCATGCCTGCTTCACCAAGTCTGCATAGGCCTCTGCAATCTCACCCTTCATGCCCAGTGGGTTGCGGAAGTTGAGCTCCTCCAGGTACCGGTTGTTGAGGAAGTACTCAGTGAGCTGTGGTACATTGCTGAGGCACTGCAGGGAGCAGAAGCCAGGTGCATGAGGCAGAGAAGAGGAGAGAGAAGGTGGCCAAAGTGAGAACAGAAAAAAGGAAGCCAGGAGGGAGAGGAGAGTGGGGCAGAGAAAATATTAATATTTCACGAAGAGGAAAAAATGTAGTGACAAAGAAAAGAAAAGAGAAAGCAGGAGGTACTGATATTTCAGAAACGAATGGGGGCATGTCAATTTAGACCTATTGGGCCTTAGCTTCCAACCTCACCCTGCAGTCCCCCTGGGCCCCTAACTCTGTCCTCAATCCCCAACTCTTGAAGCCCACCCCTGTGGGCTTTAATGACCCAACCTGCAGGGCTGAGTTCATGAAGCATGTGTTGCCCAGATTGGTGAGGCCACAGATGCCTGGCTGGCCTTGGAAGTCCTCATCCTCTTCGAACACGTTCCTGGAATTGGATGAGAAACTATTAGCTGAGGGCCTACTACATGTAGCTGCAATGTGCTCATGGGCTCAGTCATTTTGCCTACTGAAGGATGCCTCCACTCAGGACCAGACACCCCAAGGGCTCACATGATATGCAGCTGTGCACTGGGCCAAGTGCCATCTTTGTTTCGGGTCTCCATGATGACCAGCTGGGTTAGAGGAAGAGAAAGAAGAGAAGAAAAGGCATTAATGGAGGGCCTTATGGGCACCTAGCCCTCTCTTCCTCAAACCTGGGCACTTCCAGGAGAGTCTATCTGCCAATCCACCTAAGCAGAAAAGCCCTCCTCACCCTTACCTGGCCAGTCTCGAGGGCAGCATCAAGCACTGTGGCATGTGTGTCGCGCAACCGATCCAAAGAGCCTTCTGAGTTCTTGACCCAAAGACGCGTCTCTTCCTGAGGGTCTGCCAGGAAAAGCTCCCGAGCTGTGCGCAATACTACTTCTGTGAAGGGTAATGGAGCACATTCAAGGTCTTCCTGATACCCAGAATGAACAACCCATCTTGGTATTCCTGACTTATCCCCACAGACCTCACATACTTAGTCAATACCTTGAGTCTCTGATCAATCTCCAAATGACTGACCCACACTCAGGACTTGAGATCCCCAGCAAATATCCTCTGCCACTGGAATGTAGCAGTTCACATAACCTCGAGACTCCAGTAGACCCCTTTGATGCCTCTGCCCAACTTGGGCAATGCCTTCTTGGTCCTCCAAAATCTGATCAGTGTTTTCTCAGTCTGCCACAGCCTAATCCCATGTACCTCAAGTCACTGAGCTGTGACCTGTGGCTGGGAATGCCAACTCATTCAATGATCCTCAGACTCACCAACAGAATCTGTGTGGCTGAACTGAGCAGTGTGATTTGTGTCCATATCACTATGCCGGACAAGCAGCAGTTCTACTGGATACACTTCGACTTTCTGGATGTTGGGCAGCTCTATGACCTGCAAGTGTAGAGGGGTGCATGCACAGGTGTATCCATGCTGCATACATGCACAGACACAAGACTCTGAGATTAGAGGAGCACACACTGTGGCTTACACACAGAGCATACAAAGACACAAATACAATGATCTGTAAGGAGGCGCACAGGTGAATACACCCAGCGGACACACAAATTTACCCATATAATGAGCTATGAGGGGGAGAGGAACGCAGATACAGGTATATCTAAACAGCACACATGGAGACACATGTACACATGGGTCTGGACCCATCCTGGGTCTATAAGACTTTTCTCCTACCTGACCTCCCACGGAACCTATCCCCTTCCAAACACCCTCATGAACCACTATACCTTGCGTTCAATGGGTGGCTGGCTATGCTCTAGACCATACCAGCTGACCAGGTAATGCCAAGCAGCTGCTGGGAGCAACACATAATCCTCGCCTTCCACCAGTCCCTCCTTGAGGCGCCAATTTATCTGATCTGCAGGGTGGGGTGGGGGTGGGGGTGGCAGAGGAAGAATCAGGGAAGGGAACCAATGAATCACTCTGGCCATCAGACCAACAACCGAGCACAGAGAATGGGCTTATGATCATTTGTAGGGACAAGGGGACAAGAACTCCGGGGCTAGGTTGATGTGGGGAGGCAGAGGCCTGCTACCTTCAAAGAGCTTGGCATTGTTGATGCATCCAGGGAAGGTGCCGGAGTCCTGGTCCCCTCCCTGCACGTATACCTCCCACTGTTTATACCAGTGCTGCTCCACAAGGAACCTGGGGCCCAGAGAGGTAACAAGGTGTTATATGGTTATCTGGGGGTTAGTCATACAACTTCCCATGGCTATTAGATTAAAAGTATCAACACATTATAATTCAAGATGAAAAGTAGCAGCATCATATAAAAATAAATTAGAAGCAAAATTTATTCAGTGATACTCAGATTTGTATATTAGGAAACCCAACTTCTTAGGATACTAAGAGATTTGATTAAAAACAGAAGTGTGCTCAATAATGGCATACAAACAAAAAACCCACACCCATAGTGCTGGAAACATGAGGTTTTATTATAAAATAAAAGATAATTAATTTGTATTAGTCTGTGGGACAACATAGTTAAATTAGGCTCAAAATATCCGTCATTTGTAGCTAATGTTATAAGCCTTTAGCCATTTGTTAAGTGTGCATCATTTGAAAAAAATGTATCAACAGAAGCAAACTTCTTAAGCTAAGAAATGATTTGATAAATTTTGAAAATATGCTCAGAAATTGAAAAAAATGTTAAATGCTAAAGAGAATCATCAAGTTTTCTTTCACAAATTGCATATTGCCATTTTTCATCATTTTCGTATTTAGGATTTATTTTGGCTTTATAATAAATTTCTGAGCTTATGACTAGCTCTCTCTCTTAACATAAAATTTACCATCTTAGCTATTTTTCAGTGTACAGTCCACCTAGCTCTCTTTTATTATTACGTTTTGTTTTTCTTTTTCTTTTTTTTGGTGGTTAGCCAATACAGAGATTGTACCCTGAACTTTGGTGTTATCAGCACCATGCTCTGAGTGAGCTAACCAGCCAGTCTTAGCTCTCTTTTAAAGGAGGAACTTACATGCACAAGGATAAACATTTAGGACTATGTTGAAATTTGCCTTTGTAAAATGTTGAGAAATTCTAAAGTCTGGAAAATACTTGACATATCATCAGTGCTAAATGAATGTTAGCTACTATTCTTCTGATCCCAGGCTTTGGAGATATAAATGCTCATAGACATACAATCCGCCTCTCACATTCACACACACATAACCTAATTGATGAAATGTACATAGCATTCCATTGGCTGGTTTTCCAGCAATTTAACCTGATAAATGTGATTCTTTAAAATGTCAACTTTCCCTTATCATAAAAGGATCAGACAGGTGGAGGGATGGAGGGATAGAAAAATCTTAGTCACAAACATTTCTGTGTGGGTTTTGTGTTGGTTTTGGTTTGGGGCTTTTTTTGCCTGTTTTGTTTGGTTTTTGCTATACTGATCCCCACAGACCCTACCACATCACTCACACCAGTGAAAACACACCTTCCCTGCCCCGGTGGCTCATGCCACAGACCTCCTCCCATCACTCACCCAGAAGACTCCATCGCCAACACTACCCACCACCATACACACCTTCAATCCCTCCTTCACGGCTTTACTTGCCTCCATAGCCTATGAGGTTAATTTATTCAGTAAAGCTAATTTATGGTTAATGGTACCTTCAATGCAAGGGGAGGCATTGCTCAACCTCTTTTTAAGAGCAGATTTTTAATAAAAATTAACATTAAAAACCACTCTTTATAGTGGATAAGCAAAACTTCCAAACCTGGCTACAATCTGAATTTCTAAAGGCTCCATTGAGGACTGAAGTTTTACACAAATTTTCACATAATATTATTACCATATCGCTTCAATTCAAAGACACACACAAGAAAAATCCAACACATTGTAACATCTCTGAAATCAAGATGACTTACAATCTGTCAGGCCAGGTGGCAGTCATGACAAAGTTATCATTGTATCAAGAACACCCATATTATTATATTTATTCATAGGTATTCGATTTGGGGGGATGCTATCGTAAATGCTATCCTTTAACATTTAACTTTCTAATTTCTTGTTGCTAGTATACAGAAATACAATTGATCTTGCTAAAGTCATGATTTTTTTTCCTCTTTTTGAAACCATTTTATTATGAAATTTAACACATACATAAAATTTAATAAAACAAATGAGCAGCCTAATGGGATATAATAAAAAGAATGCTCATGTGATTACCATCTAATTAAAAAACTAGAACATTGCTGGCTCCCCAGAAGGCCCCTAAATGCCCTTTCTAATCACACCCCCTTCTCTTCCTGCCAAAGGTAGCCACTCACTCCACCTAGTAGTCCGTTCTCAGCTCAGGCTACAATCCCCACACCCCACCTCACCTCTGTGGTCTTTCCCCTGACCTCATACAAGCCCTCTGAAGGTGTTCTCTCTCTCTCTCTTTTTTTTTTACAGTGTTGAATATCAATACCTGTGTACAATACATGATGCTTAAATCAGGATAATTAGTATATTCAACATTATATAATATAATTGTATTTTGTGGTCCTTTACCAATTTATTGCTAACTCTCTCTCTCCATCCCCCTCCCCCCTTTCCCATCTCTGGTGGTCTCAGTTCCATTCTCAAAATTCTATTTGTGTGTGTGTGTGTGTGGCTGGCTGGTACGGGGATCCGAACCCTTGACCCTGGTGTTACCAGCACCATGCTCTCCCAAGTGAGCTAACCCACCAGCCCCCCCATTTTTGTTTATTGTTTTGGCAGCTGGCCAGTATGGGGAACCGAAACTTTGACCTTGGTGTTACAGGGCTGTGTTCTAACCAACTGGCCCTTAAAGTCACTTATGCTTGTGCTTCCTCAAATTGGTTAAAATAATATGAAATACGTGCTTATGGGAACGTTACTAAATAATTCTTTATTTTCTGTCCTCTAGTCTTCTCTTGTTTGGAAAAAAGAAAATTGGTTGTTTTAGTTAAGCTAACAATTTATATAAATGGTTAATTATACTAGATACAATAACTATAGAGAAATAGAAATATGGATTTGTTAAGAAGTATGGTTTCCTACTTGTTTATTAAAAGCTTGTTACTTTATTCAGATGATAAATGTAAAATAACACTGTTGTACAAAATTTATTATTTACCTGTATAAGCTTAAATACATAATTTAATAAAGGCATTTTATTTTTTTTATTATTATTTTTTTTTTAAAGATGACCGGTAAGGGGATCTTAACCCTTGGCTTGGTGTTGTCAGCACCACACTCAGCCAGTGAGCGAACCGGCCATCCCTATATGGGATCTGAACCCGGGGCCTTGGTGTTATCAGCACCGCACTCTCCCGAGTGAGGCACGGGCCAGCCCAAATAAAGGCATTTTAATAAATCCCTTACTGTAAATTGTTACATAAATAATGTACCAAAGGAGGAAAATTACAATTTGGGTCCACTATGTTACCTTATGTCCAGACTAGAAATTCCTTTTTTGTCACCAAATTATTGTTAACTCTTGGTGCTTTCTGACATACTCTTATTTTTTTAAATATCTTAACTCATTTTTAAAAAGATTCCTTGATTTAAAAAAACTAAGCTCCTAATAAGCTTTGTTGTTTATTGCTGTGTGTTTTTACAAAGTCGACTGTAAATATTTCTTATCTTTACTTACAACTTATATCTTGTTTTTCCCAAATTCAGGTCCCAGATTTAGGATAATAACACTGTTAAATGTTCTTTTATGCCTAAACTATCTTTGGGAGATAACCCAAAGATTTTCTCCTTCACCCCACAAAAAGAAGGATAAGAGTAATAATCATATCTATCTAAAATTCTCCAAATTTTAATTCATTTAAAATTTAAGAGCTCTTTCATTTTTCAAACTTACTATTTAAAAAAATGCAAATCAAACAGAAAGCTTATCTTCCTGGGTTAATTACAGTTAATCATATGCAATTAGATATGCTAATACAAATAAATATCTTTCCTCAACATTTCTAGGTTTAACCTCCTGTGAGCCAGCCTTGATTTCCCTTCACACATCACCTGTCACCTCCGCTGGTGCAACACTCTGAACCCAACCCCCCCTCCTTCCTTTACCTGAACAAGGAGAGCCCCGTGAATGCTCACCTCTGTTAGGAAACTATCCACACCCTGAACACATCTGCTAGAGACTCCCTCAGCTATCCCTGATTTAATTGTTTGGTTCATCCTCAAAAAGAAAAACTAAAAATTTTTAAGGAGGTTGTACTATCATAGATTCATATTTACTCTTAACATATAAGCTTTTCTCAGAAATTAAATCAGTTCAGATGACCAAATTAATTAATTGCCCTTGCCCACATCTGAGAGCTGAAAAAAGACAGAAGGTACAAATATTAATACCGAGACAAGGTATATGTTTTGCAGTTAGTCCATGACCTCAAAATGCTTTATATACACCTCTTTCCTGACCACTGCAGCAAACCCTATAACATGGACAGCAAATTAAAGAACCTTGAGATTCTTTACTCTTACCTAAATAGATAAGCATAAAAACAGGTGGAGTTTAGCAAAAATGCTCCATGGTAATACCCACGATAGCAGAGATAAACTGGCTTCAGTAATAAAGCAACATTGCCATGGCGATTTTTTTAATGAAGTGAAATTCACATAATAAAATTAACCCATTTCAAAGTGAAAAATCCAGTGGCATTTAGTACATTCATAATGTTGTGCAACCATAACCTCTACCTAGTTCCAAAACATTTTCATCACCCCAAAAGGAAACCTGGTGGTACTGGTGGGGTAATTTTAAAGGGTACTTCCAAGGATGATAGGATTTCATGTCTTATCTGTCAATGATACAATCATGACAAGTCTGTAAAGGTAGGAAGGGGCAAGAACCAAAGTCTTGAGGCCCTTTGAACATCTCCAACTTGGCTATAAAATGTTCTGGTTATAGCTTATTTTTGAGATGGTCTGAGGCTTTTCCTTGCTGAGTAGCTATGATGTAATGGTAGAAAAACATTGCTTGGTTTTGTATTCTTCATTTGGGGAATCTCAACTCATCTTCCCAGTAACAGGGATATACATTTCATTGGTTCTATTATTAAAAGAACTCTGTACAGGGCCGCCCCGTGGCTCACTCGGGAGAGTGTGGTGCTGGTAAAACCAAGGCCATGGGTACGGATCCCATATGAGGATGGCCGGTTGCTCACTGGG